TTAAAAGAAAACGAAGGGAACACCCTCTTGAACATCAGAGTAGGCAGTGAGTCCATGGCATGGCAAAGTCCTCAAAAGCAAATGTAGCAAAAGCTAAAACTGACAGGTATACCTTATTAAGCTAAAAAGTTTTTGCACAGAAAAAGAAGCCATCAAGAGAGTAAAGAGATAACCTACAGAAAAGAAAAAAAATATTTTCAAGCTATGCATCTAACAATGGTCTAATATCCAGGATGTATAAGGAACTCAAATGAATTGACAGAAAAAATAAACAAGTCCTCCATTAAAAGCCGGGCTCGGTGGCTCAGCCTCTAATCCCGCACCTTTGGGAGGCTGAGGTGAGTGGATTGCCTGAGCCCGCGGGTTCGAGACCCGCCTGGGCAAGTGAGACCTCATCTCTACAATAAATCAAAAAGGGGTTGGGCATGGTGGCACACACCTGTAATTCCGGCTACTTAGAAGGCTGAGGTGGAAGGATCGCCGGAGCCCAGCAGGTCGAGCCTGTGGTGACCGGGAGCAGCCACTGCACTACAGTCTGGGCGACAGAGTGAGACTCCAACTTAAAAAAAAAAAAGTACTTTATAGCCGGGCTCGGTGGCTCAGCCTGTAATCCTGCGCTTTGGGAGGCTGAGGTGAGTGAATTGCCTGAGCCCGCGGGTTCGAGACCCGCCTGGGCAACTTGGTGAGACCTCATCTCTACAATAAATCAAAAAATGAGCCGGGCGTGGTAGGGCGCGCCTGTAGTTCCAGCTACTTGGAAGGCTGAGGCGGAAGGATCGCCGGAGCCCAGCAGGTTGAGGCTGCGGTGGCCGGGAGCGGCCACTGCACTCTAGTCTGAGCGACAGAGTGAGGCTCCAACTCAAAAAAAAAAAAAGTACTTTATAATGTAGTGTCATAAAACAGACACTTCTCAAAGGAAGATATCTAAGAAACAAACAAGACAAAATGCTCAGCTTCACTAGAAATCAGAGAAAATCAAATCAAAACTACAATGAGATACCACCACCTCGCACTGTCAGAATGGTTATCATTAGAAAGTCAAAAAACAGGTGCTGGTGTGTCTGTGGAGAAAAGGGATCACTCTTGCACTTTTGGTGAGAATGTAAACTATTTCAACCTTTGTGGAAGCAGTGTGGTGTTTCCTCAAACTATAAATTGAGCTACCATATGATCCAGGAAGCTCGCTTTTGTGAATATACCCAGAGGAGCATTAAACTGCTCTATCAAAGAGACCTGCACATATATGTTCACTGCAGCACTATTCACAATAGCAAAAATCATGGAAGCAACCCAGATGCCCAATGAAAGTGGACTGATATAGAAAATGTAGTGCATATACACGATGGAATACCACACAACCATAAAGAAGAATAAAATCATGTCATCTGCAGCAATATGGATGCAGCTAGAGACCGTCATTCTAAGGGAACTATCACAGGAAAAAAACCCTGAATATTGCATATTCTCGCTCGTAAGCGGGTCCAAAACACTGGGCATGTGAGCACAAAAGCAGAAACAGCAAACACCGGGCACTGCAAAAGGAGGGAGGAAGAGGGGATGACACAGTCGTCCATCAGGGACCATGTCCACTAGCAGGGAGAGTGGGCTCACCAGAAACCCAAACCTCACCTGCACGCACTTGATTTATGTAGCAAACCCCCCGAGAGATCACCCCTCCAACTCTCAAATAACTATGAAAATTTAATGTCTTTATATTGTTTTTTAAAACAAGACACATTTCAAGTGATGCTTGATTTCGTCGGTACGTTTCAGTATTTTCCACATTTTAAAATTCACGTGTGGGTATGTGGATGTCTGCACATATAAATGTAGATGCTTGCATAAGTGTATGTGGGTATGTGTTGCACAATCTTGAAGAAGTTGCTGTTCGCTCTTTTTGCTAAAAGAGTTTTTACAGTAGAACTAGAGAGGGATGAATCAGCAGTTTTCATTTAAATGAGGGTAACAGAGCAGGAAAAGGCTGGGGGTTATCAGACCCCCGTTTATCTTGGCTACCTGACTTACCCACCTACCCACCTGAGCTGCCAGAGCTATCTTACAGTCTCTTGGCTTTCATTTCCTCACGTCTTCCGCCCCTCCCATTTCCCCCTTCTAGATATGCTGTGGAATTTTATCTTTTGTTTCAACAGTTATTGAACTTTTACTGTGCTAAAAAGCTAGAAGGGAGGGTTTAGAGTCTACACTTTAGAAATGTGTCTGAATCCAGCTTCACCACTTTGTAGCTATTGATTTGGATCAAGTTTTGTGACTTTTCTGCCTCAACTGGGGATCACAATGGTATCCACTGTATGAGACTACTTTCAGAACTGAATGGTTACGACATGGAAACAGCTTAGAATAGTGCCCCCAACGCAGTAAGTTCTTGGAGGAATGTTAACTGTTCTTACAACTGGGTCACAAGGCCTCTGCCTTCATGGAGATTTTGGTTTAATATCTACCTCCCCCAACCCACCACTGACTTGTCATCACTATGTTCCGTGAGCAGAAGCATCTTTGTTTTTATTTGTTATGCAGGGTGATAAGTACAATGGGGTGGAATGGGGAAGGGTTACTGATATTTTCAGCTTGGATCACCTCTTTGGAAAACAAATTTACTGTTCATTGTGATACTCTATTACTGGAAAATACGTCAAGGATATATAATGGCAGCGGGGTCTTGAAATATCAGGTGGCCACACGATTGACTTTTCTGCTTTTCAATTCTGTCCAACAAGAGGGGAAAGGCATGCTTTTGTCCTGGTTCTAAGACTTCCACAGTGAGACTATACCTTGAAAGCTGAAATTCCCAGAGGATCAGTAAACTCAATCATTCTTATTTTCAAAGAGAAGTGTGTGCTAAATATGATACAATAATAACTGTTATTAGAGTAAACCAGAGGTAGGTATAAGAAGAAAATAAATATTTTGCGCAAATATCAGATGGTGCTCTGCATATCAGATAATGATTCTTTGCATGATGGTGAAATAGTCACCTTTTTATCCAAAGTCATGCTAACACCCTAAGGCCCTTTACTTTGGTATTCTGTAAAGAATCTTTAGGGCATCTATCTTTCTTGTACAGTTTTACTGAGATGATTCCCATAATTCTCAATACATATAATGACCCCCTTCCTTCAGTCTCAGATGTTTTTTTGCTTCTTGCAATGTTTTCATAATCAATTTTTCTCAAGTTTATGTACATTTCCCATCTTTGGGCCCAGGGGAAATGTACCAGATAACCTCTCCAACTTCCAGTGAAAAGAAGCCCACTTTCCTAAGCCAGAGGTACACATAAATGCCCCCCGATGCACCTGAGAAACACATAGTCTTCAAAGTGAATATATGCTCATGCAATGAAAGGCAGACAATAGCAAGAGACCTTAAAGCCAGAAGCAGTTTCTGAGCAATAACAACGATCTGAATGATGATCCTAATAATGGTCAGCATATACAGAGCTCTCACCCCATGCCAGGTACTGTCCTGATTGCTTGCTATACAGTTCGCTCCTTTAAACCACTATCATCACCGATTCACAGAAACGAAATCTGGAGCTTGATGAGGGTAGGGAACCTGTCCCGGATCATAGGTGGTAGAGCCAGAGCCTGGACCCAATCCTAGACAGGTGGCTCCAGAGGCCATGTTCAACTGCACCTTCTCCTGAAGCGTGGACACAAGGGGACTTCCCAGCAAGCCAGTGACACAGACGCGAAGAGGAGGCTTTCAAACTTTCAAGGTCCGAAGGAAGACAAGACCCAGGTTAGAGAACAGAAGCCCACAGTTCCTACACATTAAGCTGGCCCTGTTGGAATGCCTGGGATGAATTGTTTTCACCATTGCTTCTGGGAATGGATGTCAAGGAAGCGCTTCCGTAAGCTGGTGTGATGACACCTCGGCCGGACAGGGATTTACTTGAAAAGTGCCAAAAGTATTCACTTTAACAGTAAAAATGCTGGGCCCAACCAGGCCTGCCCAGAAGTGAGGAAGTATTCCCAAGGGCACAAGGTGAAGACACAAGGAAGAGAGCAGGGGAACGGCTGGGCAAAAGCAGAGACACCAACCATGGCTTTCTCTCTGCTCGTCCCTTCACGAGTTGGGAGACCAGCCCTGAGGCCCTTACTCTGCCTAAGCAAAGGCAAGGTCCAAAAGATGGCTTTAGAAAAACGCATTCTCGGAAAAACAAATCAGTGGTCATAGAAGATGGTCCCTTAAATTCTATGACAATAGCCTCATTTAGATTCCATTTCACTATACTGTGAGGATTCTGGTGTCTGGGAACTCGCAAAAGAAATCTCAGCTGGTGCCAAGGTCTTCAAAACCAAAAGGGGGGGGGGAAAGGAAATTTGGTTCTCATTAGAGAATTCTTTTGGAATTTTTTTTCTCTTTTGCTTAGCCTACTTTTGAAATTTATTTGGACTCATCTTTGAAAAACAATCAACAATTTTATTTCATCCCATTAAACTCTGGTTCTGGACCTAACAAAAACTCTCGCAGTACAAATAAAGGTGTTAGGCAAAACCACTGTTTCCTCCAGGCTGGATACTCATTCCAAAACCAAAACACTATGAGGAATTTTGAAGTACTAGGTTGGTCAAGCCTAAAGTGAAGCTAAATCCCCAAAAGCAAAATATTTCTTTTCTCACAAAACAAGGAAACAAATAGAAGTAATCCTGAATTCCTGATTTCATTTTTCAAAGTGACTGATGACATAATTGAGGTTAAGCTAATTTTGCATGCAAGCGTTTCACAAAGTATTTCCAGAGGTGGTATTTCACTTTCTACTCTGAGGCCTGGTCATATCAAAATTCGTTTCTTGTGCATATGAGAAAATCAGACGAAGAAACCTAAGGCCAGATCTTCCGAATAGTTGTGGCACCTGTGAAATGTCCCGTACTCACAACGTGCTATAAAATCACGGCTGCTCAATTTGAATCCAGGCCAAGTAAACGACAGAAATAAACACAGAAGCCCCTTCCCCCACTCCTGGTGGAGAGAAAGCTCACACTGAATGGCTCGGAGTCGGGGCATCATCGTGGGGCTGCTTGGGGGACTGGAACTGCTGCTGTTTAGACTTCTCCGTTTGTCCAGGTTGGGAGAGGCCTGCACGGTTATCTTGTGCTGGAAATCTGTCAGATACAAAAAAAATAAATAAATAAGCAAGAACTGATATTTCACGGTTTTAAGCTGGTTTCATAGCCAAGTCTTTTTAACACACAGCAATAAAAGAAAAGCACGCCAGGCAGTAACTATAAAGTATATTCATCATCTGTTTCTTACTTTGGTTTCTTACTTGTCAGGGTTCAAGTTGACAAATAAGGACTCAGAACGTATATGTCAGGTACAGTGAGACACACACAGAAAAATAAAATAGAACCAAATCCTCGGAGAGCTTGCAATTTTCTGGGAAGAGAGTTACCTGCATTCAGTCTGAGACAGTTAAAAAAAACAAAATTGAAATAGAAGATCCCGAGTTTAAATGAATCCTTGTTCTGTCACTAACAAACCATGGGCTTCAAACCAGCCAGGAGCCCTTCTGTGCCTCTCCTTCTTACCTGTTAAGTGGGAACAATGATATTTCACACAGTTGTGGTGGTGATTAAAATAGAAAATGTAGGCTAAAAGTACTTTGTGGTCAAGGCACTCTACTCATACAGCAGAGATATGCCAAGAACTATCATAATATATGGAAGAAAAAGCAGTATTAAAAGAGGGAAGAGAAAAACTTTGTGAACTATCAGGAAAATTATAAAAAACCTTGGACACAGCTAAAAGACATTGCTGAGTGTTCCTTCAGTGCAGTGCTGAGCTTAACCTTTGATTAACTGCTTTTCTACTGACGGGGTTATTTTTAGAACTAGGTTGAGGCAGAGGTTAACTTGGGGATGTTGTCTGTTGATGATGTAAAAAATTCTGTCTATGAAAAAGACAATCCCAAAGGTTACAGTTTATTGCCATATTGGGCATTAAGCAGGTTTGTATTTAACCCAGCAATCTAACCCCAACATTCCTTTATTAAATTGCCCATAAATACCTTGCTTCTCAAATTCTTATTTGAACTGGTGTTATTTAGTCCCTCATTAATTAATGAGTTTAATAAAATGTTTGACACATGCTCACTCCATATTTGCAAGAAAGCTATAATTTACATTTCTGAAAATTATACATTAAAGAACTTTAATGAACCACCTGGCATTTGAAAAGAAGAGGATCTGGAATCTGGTACACATCTATCTAATTATGCACGCTAGAAATCTGAAATTTTTTCCTGATACTGTCTTCTCCTTACGTATCTATCAAGTACAAAATATCTGGTAAACTCTAAGATATATTTTCTTCTTATAGTTATAGTAGATAAATTTATATTCCAGATTCTAGACTTGGTAAATTTGTCTTTGAATTCTACTTCTACCACTTACTAGTCATGTGAAAGTACCTTAACCTTTTAAAGCTCCAGTATCTTCATGTATACATTAAAAAAAATTATTCTTATTTCATAGGACTGCTACAAAAAAAATTAAGTACAAAGTATAAAAAGTATCAGCACTCAGGACATAGTAAATGCTCAGTTTTTTGTTAGTATTCTCTCCATCTCCACTGCCACCATCATTCCACGTCTAGGCTGCTATAATTTCCTGTATGCATCTTTCTGCATCCACAATGGACTCCTCAAGTCTGCCATACAGAAGCTAGATGCATTGGGGAAAATAGTATTGATATATAACAGTTGCACATATTTTTAGGGAGCATGTGATATTCTGACACCTGTATACAATGTGAAGCGATCAAGTCAGGGTGACAGGATATCCATAACCTAAAACAATTACTTTTCTTTGTGTTGGGAATGTGACCGTTCTCTTCTGGTTCTTTTGAAATATGTAATGAATTACTGTGAGCAATAATTTTCCTACTGCACTATCAAATAGGAGAAGCTACTCCTTCCATCTTTCTGTCTTCTCTTTATCCGACTTTCCTTTTCCTCCTCTTCCTCCCTTCCTTCCCCAGCCTCTGATAACCACCATTCTACTCTCTAACTCCATGAGAGTCACTTTCTTAGCCTTCACATATGAATGAGAATATATGCAATATATCTTTCTGTGCCTGGCTTGTGTCACTTAACATAATGACCTCCAGTTCCATCCACATGGCTACAAATGAAAAGGATTTCGTTCTTTCTTTATGGCTGAATACTATTCCATTAGGTATATACATCACATTTTCATTATCCATTCCCCTTTCACCATATACAAAAATCAACTCAAAATGAATTAAAGACTTAAATGTAAGGCCTGAAACTATGAAACTTCTAAAGTAAATTGTTGAGGAAATGCTGTACGACATTGGCCTATAGCATTTAAAACCCAAAGCATTCTGGAGTAAGACCACAAAAGCGTAAGCACCAAAAGTAAAAATCTACAAATGGGATGACAACTAGCTGAAAAGTGTTTGCACAGCAAAGAAAACGATCAATTAAGGGAAGAGGCAACCTACAGAATGAGAGAAAATACGACAAACTATCCAGCTGACAAGGGATTAACATATATAAGGAACTCGACTCAATAGCGGAAAAACCTAATAATCTGATTTTAAAGATGGGCAAAAGACCCGAAGAGTAATTTCTCAAAAGAAGACATACAAGTGGCCAATGGGTTTATTAAAAATGCTCAATATCACTGATCATCAAGGAAATGCAAATCAAAACCACAACAAGATATCATCTCACCCCAGCTGGAATGGCTATTAACAAAAACGCAAAAAAAAAAAAAAGTGCATTTTTAAAACACATGACTAACCATGTCATTCCTCTGCTTAAAATCCTTCAAAGACTTCTCATTATCGTCAAGTTACAGATTAAAATTGTAACAACCTCTGTGAGCCCCTACAAATCAAAGTCCAGGATTTTTCTGTTCTAGCCTCATCTTGTCCCATTCTCTCCTCACCCATCACGGTCTAAACCAGGGTCCAGCACACTTTTTCTGTGAAGTGCCACATTTTAGCCTCTGTGAGCCACATGGTCTCTGCCTCAACTACTCAAATCTGCCGATGTAACGAGAAAGCGGCCATGGACAACACATGAACGAATGCGTTCCTGTAAAGCTTTCTGACAGATATTAAAATTTAAGTCTCATCGAAGGTCAAAAGTCATGAAATATTATTGCTTGGATTTTTTTTTCCAAGTATTTAAAAGTGTAAAAACAATTCTGAGCTCATGGGCTGTACAAAACAGGCAGTGGCCGGATTGGGCCCATGAGGCATTATTTGCTGACCCCTTGTCAAACTACTTGGGATTTTTTTTCCAATTCTTGGAAGAAACCGAACTTTCCTTCATGTACTTTCTGCATGTTCTCTTCCTTCCTTCTGTATATTTGGTAAATTCCTACATCAAGTCTCGATTTAAATGGTACTTCTTTAGAAAGCCTTTTATGATTGCCTCACACCAGCTTACATCTCTGAACTATCATATGACTGTCATATGACTTTTCCCTCAGAGTAGTTAATAATTATAGCAAGTAAGCAAGTACTTGCTATAATTATTAACTTAAGGTCCGTCCCCTCCTCCAAAGTAGTGTAAGCTGTATATGGGCACAGACCATGGCAGTTTCCCTCACTCCAAACCAGCATTGTACATTTTTCTTTTTTTTTTGAGTTGGAGTCTCACTCTGTCGCCCAGACTGGAGTGCAGTGGCCGCTCCCAGCCACCACAGCCTCGACCTGCTGGGCTCCAGCGAGCCTTCCGCCTCGGCCTTCCGAGTAGCCGGAACTACAGGCATGCACTACCACGCCCGGCTGATTTTTGATTTATTGTAGAGATGAGGTCTCGCTGCCCAGGCGGGCCTCGAACCCGCGGGCTCAGGTCATCCACTCACCTCAGCCTCCCAAAGGTGCGGGATTACAGGCTGAGCCACCAAGCCCGGCTATACCTTGTACATTAAAGGTGCTTAGGAAACTCTGCCGAATGAGTATTTTTCTGTTAAAACTGTAAGTAAATGAGTGCAGAGAGCATACGTATTTTATCATGAAGCCCTAATACTTAGCGCATAGTAGATCCTCAAGTGTTTGTTGAATGAGAAAGTTATGCAAGGTTTATTAACAGGATCAAACTAATGCTTAAGGCGAAATGTTGAGAAATATATGAGGGGGGGTTAGGAAGACAAAGCAAATGGAAACAGAGTACCAGATAGGAGGCTTTATTCATTTGCCAAATAAGAAATTATGAAACATTAGGCCAGGACAGAGTAGTTTAAGTACGGGAAAGAAAGAGCCGGGCTCAGTGGCTCAGCCTATAATCCCGTGCCTTGGGAGGCTGAGGTGAGTGAATTGCCTGAGCCCATAGGTTCGAGACCTGCCTGGGCAACTTGGTGAGACCTCATCTCTACAATAAATCAAAAAATCAGCCGGGCGTGGTAGCGCCCGCCTGTAATTCTGGCTACTCAGAAGGCTGAGGCGGAAGGATCGCCGGAGCCCAGCAGGCGAGGCTGCGGTGGCCGGGAGCAGCCACTGCACTCCAGTCAGGGCGACAAAGTGAGACTCCAACTCAAAAAAAAAAAAAAAGAAAGAAAGTATACAAGAAAAGTGTTCAGTAGGACATGATAACTGATTGGATTAGGTGGTGGGGGAAGGGAGTGAAAACAGAGGATAAGAAAGAAATATTCTCACCCCTAGGTAGGAGACTCTTTATTTCAGACTTAACTGGTTTACAGAGGTTCAACTAGCCACATGATTGTTGTAGCACTTTAGAAGCAAATTCTGTGAACTTTTACAGTAGGGGAAGCCCTCTGGTCTGCAGCAGAAGACAGGCCAAAAACCAGATCACAGGATTTGAATGATAAATTATTTGGAACAAATAATGGGACAAGAGATATTAAGTATAGGTCAAATAACCAGCATGGAACATGTGGAAAGCCAAGAATACTTCAGACTTAGAGTGTTTCAGAAAATGCCCAAATACTTTCTTGAAACTACAAAAATACCTATGGAAACTCTTGGACATTGGTCTAAGTAGAGAATTTATGACTGAGATCTCCAAAGCACAGGCAACAAAATCAAAAATAGACAAATGGGACTCAATTAAACTAAAAAGCTCCTGCACAGCCAAAGAAATAACAGAGTAAAGAAACAACCTGTTGAATGGGAGAAAATATCTGTGGACTATTCATCTGACAGGCGACTAACATTAGAATATACAAGGAACTCAAGCAACTCAACAGGAAAACCACAACAACAAATAATTCCATTAAAAAGGAGGCAAAGGACATGAGTAGACATTTCTCAAAAGAAGACATACAAATGGCCCACAGAAAACTACATGACTGATCATCAGAAAAAAGCAAATCAAAACCACGAGATATCATCTCACCCCAGTCAGAACGGCTATTATTAAAAAGACAAAAAGTAACGTTAGCAAGGATGTGAAGAAGTCTTATAAATACCGTTAGTAGGAATGGAAACTAACACAGCCATTACAGAGATTTCTCAAAAAGCTAAAAATAGAATTACCATTAAATCTAGCAATCCCTCTACTGTATCCACCCAAACAAAAAGAAGTCAATATATCAAAGGAATAACCTGCCACTCGCATGTTTATTACAGCACTATTCACAATAGCAAAGATGAGGAATCAAATTAAGTGCCCATCAAAGACACAACGGACAAATGGATAAAGAAAATGCAGCATACATACACAGTGGAATACTAACAGAGCCATAAAAAAAAAAACAGATGGAATTATGTCATCTGTGGCAACATAGGTTGAACTGGAGGTCATTACTGTAACTGAAATAAGCCAGGCACAAAAAGACAAATATCACATGTTCTCACTGATATGTGCCAGCTAAAAACTCTGATCACATGCAGGGAGAGTGGAAAAACAGAAAAGAGACCGGGAAGGGCGAGTGGGGAGAGAAAATTCTACCTTCTACTTTAACAGGCCCAGAAAATTTTTTATCTCCCATTATCATGCAATATTTATCATTCTGTGCCTGACTTATTTCACTTAACATAATGTCCTCCAGGTTCATCCATGTTGCCCCCAAAAAGATTTCATTCTTTTTTTATGGCTGAATACTATCCCATTGTGTACATACACAACATTTTCTTAACCATTTGTCAGCTTGATGGACATTTAGGCTGATTCCACATTTTGGCTACTGTGAATAGTGCTACAATAACCATGGGGGTACAGGTATCCCTTTCACTTACTGATTTTCTTTTCTTTGGATACATACCCAGTAATGAGATTGCTGGATCATTTGGTAGTTCTGTTTTTAGTTTTTGGAGATACCTCCATATTGTCTTTCACAATGGCTATACTAATTTACATTCCCATGAACGGTGAATAAGAGTCGTCTATGCTCTCCATCCTCGTCTGTAATTTTGATACTAATCATTCTGTCTAGGGTGAGATATAACTCCTTGTGGTTTTAGTTTACATTTCCCAGATGATTAGTGAGAGTGAGTATTTTTTCATACACCCGTTGGCACCTTGTATGTCTTCTTTTGAGAAATGTCTGTTAAGACTCTTTGCCCATTTTTCAGTAAGACTTTTGTTGCTGACTTCCTTGTGTAATCTGCATATTAGTCCCTTGTAGAATGAATAGTTTGCAAGTATTTCCCCTCTTTCTACAGGCTGTCTCTTCCCTTTGTTGATGGTTTCCTTTGCTGCACAGAAGCTTTTCAGTTTAATGCAATTTCACTTGTTTATTTTTGGTTTTGCTGCCTGCATTTTTGAAGTCTTGGTCAGAAAATTTTTGCCTAGACCAATGCCCTAAAGTGTTTCTGCTGCTAAACAGTACTAAAATTTGATGACTCAAAGAATTTTCTAGAACATAACACTGAAAACAACTCCCATAAATGTAAAGTCTAAATATCTCTATTTCAATAACTCTCTTCTGCACTAAAAGAAAATTCCTTAAAGAAAAAAATAATTATTTTTATAGTTGTCGCTTCCATTTCTGGATATCGTGTGTGTGTGTGTGTGTGTGTGTGTGCGTGCGTGCGTGCGTGTGTGTGTGTGTTAGTTAGAGCTGGGGGACCCTAAAGAAAAAGTTTCCATTTTGGTAGCAGTATACAACAATGTATCGCCATCTTGTGGGTAGAAGAGGTAACTGTCATGCTACATTCCAGAAACCAAATTTCATTCCTTCATAATGCATTAGGATTTTCACAGATTTCCTGATTATATTTTAGCTGGACTCTTTTATTAAGGGCCACAAAGTAAATAAATGCATAACTAAAATGTCTCCTCTATTCTCAAGAAGAGAAATGTTAAATAGTACAATCCAATAATTTTTTTTTAAATCTGGCAAAAATAGTTAAATACACTCAAGGTATTAGCCAAGGAACATTTGGGAAGAAATACAAGAATGAAAGTTTGGCCTCAGGAATCCTAAGCTACTGTGTTTCATCACTCCACCATTGAAGGGTTAAGAGTAACTGGAATGAGTTGACTTTTTTTCTTCCGAGTGCATTTCCCTTTTCATCAGATTCATATTCCTTGCCACCTCCCCCAAAATTTGCCGAGGGAAACAATAAGCATTAATTACTCTGACAAAATCAAAACACAGAGAAAAGGAAGCTGATATAGCTGAGAACTGGAGAAGAAAATTCACAACTAGTGCCACTCTGAATTTTTCTATCGTTTATGCTTGAAAACAGAAGCTTTATCACAGATCAAATAGTCTATTTTAAAATGATGGCTAACTGACATACAAGACAATCCAATGAGTGATCCACCCAGCAACACCCTGGCTCAGGAGAGAATCTGGAAAAGAACGTCCCCCCCCAGAGAGGTTGAAAGTAAAAAGCATAAGGATCCATAGTCTAGTCTCACTTCATCAAACCAAATATATACTGGATACATATTTAGTGTATTGTATATTGACTATAAACATATAACCACATGCTATATAACACATGTCATAACTACCACATATGAGCAATGTTCAGATCAATTGGGGATATCTGCAATAACCTAAAAAGCCAGCGTATGCTGTCAAGCTTCTAGTATTTTGTAATCAGTGTTTCACAAGACAATTTATACATACTTGATATAAAAGAAAATGGTTGTTATTGCTATTTAAATCAAATTTCCATGCCATTAACAAACATCTTAGGAAAATACCAGAAATCATAAGAAGCACTGTAATATGTAATGCTCAGATACAAAAATAGAGAGCTATAGAGAGATAGAGATGCTTAATACACATTTCACAAAAGTGCTGTCTGCTCTTGCTCTGTCACTAGCCTACCCTACCACTAAAAAGAATCACAAAATACAGTGAGGGTGATTGGTTTTTCCTTAAAGCAAGTATAAATATGCAATGTTAAAGAACTTTATTTAGTGAATTAATATATGTTTTCTATTTTGGTTGGCTTTTCCTCACACATTATCAAAAGGATTCAGTCATCCTTTTATGTCCATGTCATGATGTTTTTCAAGACTCCCCTAGGCTTACTGGTTTATTTTTGTACCTGAAGAATGTTAAACCCTTAGATGAAAATAGGAGCATAACTGAAGTACTTGATGTATTCTGTTGAAGGTGTTCACAACAGTATCAGTGACTCCAGTGAACTCAGATACCAGAGACATTACAAATCCTTGTGGAAGCAATGCACTTAATGATAAAATATCAACAGTTTTGTCATCTTGGACTTTCCCAGTGCCACAAAATGTGGTTCAGTGCAATTAACTAAAAAAGAAGTTGTGCTTTGATTTCAAAAGGAGTAAATCAACTAATCCATTTGTATGGAAGTGAGCTGCAAGTTAAACACTTGCATGCCGTGACCAGCAATGTCCTACTTATGCTGCTTTCTACATGAAAGCTCACTTGGCACCTACCGCATCAGGACCTTGAATTTAAGCCAGTGACTGAAGTTACTTTATCATTCCCTGTTTTACCATCTTTCCCAGTGCTCGTGAAACAAAAAGGCTGATGAAAAGGATGACACACAAAAACCTTTATCAAACATGAACACAAAACCATACCCGAAGGTAGACTGATGCGACGTCCATCTTTGAGCTTTAAACGACTTCTCTTGAACTTGCCCTTCCTCTTCTTTACCTTGGGCTTCTCCTGGTTCAACTGGAATATCAAAATGTTCAGCTCTCGCTCTAGCACGTCGATCTCCCGTTCTGCCAGCTGCTGCTCACGCCGCTTCAGCAATTCTTCCTGAGACTTCTGCTGCAGGGCCGCCCGGGTCAGCTCCTCTTCCCGAGATCGCAGTTCCTATGAGAGATCCACGTGTCAGTCTATGCAGGAGGAATGACAGCTCAGGTCTGTTCCCCAATATCTACATCACCTCAGTCACTGAATTCCCGCACACAGAGAGACACTGAAACCCTCTCTTTGCCTGTTCAAGCCCTTGGTCAACTCAGGTCCTCACAGGATGTTTGGAGCTAAGACCTTTGCAGCATTCCTACTAACTTACAGGAAAATCTAAGCCTTTGCACAGGCTCCATTCCTCTTTGTTAGTTTTTGGAATCTAAGAGAGGCAGCATACATTTTTGACACATCTCTCTCTCTCCATCTCTTATCTTGATAATCACCAGACACATAAAATGTACATTAACACACAGCAAAAAAGCACAGATGTGAATGACCCTTTTAAAATAACACCAAAAACTAAAGCTCGATTAACGGAAGGATAATTATTCTAGTTACAAAGAACAGCAGTTCAGACTTCTTTACAGAGAGACTTGCTTAAGGTATTTATGAGTTTGCTTTGAGAATAGAACACCTTGGTGGAGAGATTAAAAGAGAAGACAAAACCAACATGTTTAGAAGTCTGCTGAAGGCTTGATGGAAATGAAAATAAGACATCTCTAAAATTATAAGCCAAAGGAAAATATATTCATACACAAAGAACTTTTCAGGATCCCAGTGACAAATGGAAAGTATCTCTTCATAACAGATCTCATAGTTAGCTAATAAACGTTCCTCTGTCATGATACCTATTGATTAAAGTTTAACTTCCTTTTGGTTTTGGTTTTTTAATTATGGAACTTCAGAGAAATAGAGAATGTATGAAGTCAAAAACACTTTCATTCCTATTAGAAGAAAATTATCCAACAGTAAAATTGAGAATGCCACAAAGTTTTAAAACCATATCCTCATTTTTATGTCATTTATACAAAGTATTCTACTATTTACCAGATAGAAATATTCCTTGTAGTGCTGAACCACTTTCTATTCTAAATGACCCTGCTGTGACATCAAGCACTCAAACAGAAATCAAGGCATTTGCAAGCTGTTATTCATACTGCTCCAAACTGAATCTTAGAATACCCTAACACTACAATCTTTACCAGAAACTGCAATTGCTTTCTCAGGTAGAGGCTTGGCAGTTGTGAGTATTGTGCAAACACTTCCTACTTTACATAGCAGGCCACACTTAAGGAGACCCACCCCCAAGAGGGCAGAACCCTGAGGAAACACCATCATCTAGGGGCTCCTGGAGGAATCTAGAGCCAAACCATGGGACAAGAATGCCAATTCAAATATACTAATCCCTTGGACCTTTTACAGATGAACTCAAAGAGTGATTTGCGCCTATTTGTGAGGAAGATAAATACAGAAGACCATCCTCCCTCAAAAAAAGTAGAGCAATGTCAAGAAGAGACTGGGGAGTGCTAATAACAAAAAAATTTATTTATTCAGATCCAACTAATTCAGAATGTATGGTAATTCTGCCAAACCAAACTGAAATTTACCTTTGAAACTTTCTTTACATTTATTTTTCCTAAACAAATTGCATAAACAATTGCGTATCACTGTAGGAGCAGTGATAAATTTTAGACCAAGAGATATCTGAATTACTTCAGCTAATATGTATTAGTTGATTCTTATTTATTCTAGAGCAGACGGGTATTTCTTCATTACACTATGTCAGATATAAAGTACTATTTATTACGTGAAAAGAAAAGGAAAAAAGTTCCATGTTAAAAAAATCCCATAATCCATTTTTTAGCTGGTGACTTTTCTGCAATTAGTTTGTCGAAACTGAACATCTTACTGTAGTATATGTAGGGACAGAGGATAATTTCCAGTCAACTTCCAATGTCTAACTCATTACTGTCTACCTTTTGGTGAAGATATTGCCTTTCAGTGGTGTTGATATCAATACAATCAGTTATTGTTAAATGACATGTTAGGATAAAGAGATAAAGAGCAGCAAATCCAGTTAGGCTGTTGTTACCACTATAGTAACTGAATAAAACACATTTTTTAATTCCGGGCCCCAACCTAAAATCAGAATTTCCTTGCAACAACTTGATCAATTAAAAAAAAAAAAAATCACTTGCCTAAGAGTACAAAAGAGAAACAATAAGATTGAAGAGAAAGTAGCAAGAGTAATCTTCCTTCTTAACAAATTTTAAGACCTTCAAAAGTTTTTAAAAGGTTTGGGATGTTAGAACTCTTTTGAATACTTTGAAGCACACACATAAAGACATTCTTTTGGTTGATGAGATTACTAACAGTAATATTTGTTTAATTACTTGGCACAGACTACTTTAGTAATGGCAAATCCAGATTCCTGGCAGTGGATGTTAATCATTAACGACGGCATACCTCCACACAGTGGGTCAAAGACAGGTGCATGCACATAATGTACAAAGACAGACACACAGAGATAAGAAGCCAGGAATTTAGGGAGGACCCAGTATCTATGGAGGGTACAGTTTACTGAATAACACAGACCACAGCCAAGTTACTGACCATTAACTCCAAGTCTGACGCCTCCTACTTTCAGCAATCAGTGAACAAGAAAGGGAGATACGGCACGTACACTGTGCTTTCTACTCCACCAAAAAAGCAGCAAATAGAAACCTTTAAGCAAAAAACTCCAAAGTATCATATATCCTTTAATTGTAAATCAGAAGGCTCACAAGATACCATAAATGCTGCCTATCAAGAAACAATGCACAAAAGTCAAATAAAAAGGAAAAACAGATGCCACTACTGCACAAGATAGCTCAAAAATAAAAAGACCAAAGAAACTATTATAAACATCCAAATGGAGAAAGAGCTGACATGTACTCTTGAAGCATGCTTTTATTTTTACGCCACATGTAATTAAGAACTGCCTGTATCTTCCAGTTTCACAAATAATTATCAATTATTAAAAATAATTAAATAAAATAGGTTACATCAATAGCAGTTCATTGTTAATTATATCACTTCCAAATTTTAAGTTCTATGATCTGAATCTTTATTTTTTCTCAAAGTATTTTCCGCTCTTCAAAATCTTTTTCATTTTTGTGATTAAACATCTAATTCTAGAATTCCTGAAAACAATTTGGGAAAGTGCCTAAAAAAAAAAAAAAAAAAAAAAAAAAAAAGTCTTTTTCCTATCATTTTAAGTCAACAAAATGCACTAAAGTTCTAAGAACCATGTTAATGAAATCGTTAGTAGTAATCCTTCACAGAACTGTAGGACTTAAGATATAATCCAGCCAACAGTGTTCTAGCAGGACTCTTCAGAGTCTGGTTTCCCAGGTCTAAACTCACAAAATACTTAAAAGTCTAAGGGAGGGAGTGAATTATCTATGTGTCAACTTCTTTTAAAAAATGACTTGAGCAGCTTACATTTTTCTCTCATTATTTTTAATCATTTTAAGTTATAAAATATTTAATGCACTACAATTAGAGAGAAAGACAAGTACCCATGCACTCAACACCACGATTTAATAGATGTAAAATTTTTACGATATCTATCTCAGGTCTGTTAAAGCTGCTGTTCTTAAGTTGGTGAGCACCTTTCCCAATCTATACTGCTAGCCTTTTTATACATGAGTAGTATTGTTTTGTTTTTACATAAATGGTATATACTGTACCTGTTCTTCTGCAACTCAATTTTTTCTACCCAATATTATGTTTAGATTTACTCACACTGGAACGTGTTGCTAGAGTTCATTATTAACTTACAACGGGTCTTCAGATAGCATCACTTCATTCAATGGTGTTTTGTTTTAATGTTGACGAGGGAAAAAAATATCACTTTGGGGCCAGGGCAACTGTCTGCGTGGAGTTTGCATGTTCCACCCATGTCTGAGTGGGTTTTTCAAGGTACTCTGGCTTTCTCTCACATCTCAGAAATGTACAGGTGTGTCTAAATGGTCCTAGCGTGAGTGAGTGTGGGTGTGTGCATGAGCGGTCCTGTGATGAGATGTCCTGTCCAGGACCTGTGCCCTGCACTGCCAGATAGGCTCTAGCCATCTGTGACTCTGAACTGGAATAAGTGGGTAAATAATTATCTTACTTCTTAAAAAATCTTCCTTAAAAGCATGTATAGCTCACATTTATTTCAGTGTTTAACATTAGAAGTATTTGGAGTCCTTTTTAGAATTGTTTGGGGGTCCTTATTTAGAAGTTTGGTGATGTTTTTGTGACCAGAAATATGCCCTAGGAACTTAACTCTTGTTTCTATCAACCAGCCTGTGGTAAAACTGGTTTTGTTATACATGATTTCACTTAAAATCAGTTTCCAAGAACCTATCAAAGATATTAGCAAGGGCTTACTCTACTGCACCGATTTCCATTGTATGACTATACAATTGTTTAGGCAACTGCTCCTCTGTTAATGGATGTTGAGGTAGTTTCCAGCTTTTTACTATTACAAATGATGCTGACACAAGCAACGCTGAGCTGTTTCCCCGTGTACATGTGTGAAAGTTTCTCAAGAATCTATAGTAAGAAGTTTGGCCAGGCTCAGTGGCTCAGCCTGTCCAGGACCTGTGCCCTGCACTGCCTCCCAGAGCTTTGAGAGGCCGAGGTGAGAGGACTGACTGAGCCCACGGGTTCGAGACCCGCCTGGGCAACTTGTTGTGACCTCATCTCTATGATAAATCAAAAATTAGCTGGGCATGGTAGTGTGCGCCTGTAGTTCCAGCTACTTGGAAGGCTGAGGCAGAAGGATTGCCGGAGCTCAGCAGGTCGAGGCTGCGGTGGCCGGGAGCGACCACTGCACTCCAGTCCGGGTGACAAAGTGAGACTCCAACTCAAAAAAAAAAAAAAAAAAAGAAGTTTCACAGCTGAGTTGCACACCTCTTTTATGGCATAAGATTCTTAACAGGATTCATAGCTTATATATACTTTAAAATGACAATAATTGCTAATATCTCTCAACTATCAAAACACATATTAGGAGCATACTAGCATGGTATAGGTTTATCTGATGTATTTATTTAATGCCTGCCATGTGCCAAGTACTGTGTTTAATGGTGCAGATGCAAATGAACAAGAAGGTAACAGCATAGTTCACGAATTCATTATCTAACAGAAAAGGCAGTCCAAGAACAATTAAACAAGCAAATGATAATAAAGGATGATTTCCTGCCATGATAAGGGAAGTAGAGCTACTGTAACAGCCCACAGTTTATCTGGGGCTGTAGAAGAAGGAAGAGAGCTTTCAGGAACTGAGAAAAAAAGGGCCACCACTCATGAGGTGAAGACAGAAGCTAGGATGGGAACATGGTTCTCAACAGAGGAAAGACACGTGCAGAGGCTGCAGGTCAGGAACATGGCATCAGAGGAACTGAGAAACTCAATGTGGCTTGGACAGAGGCCGTGGAAAAGTAGGCTGTATATGTAAGGAGAAAAAATGTGGATATGGAAAAGGAGCTGGCTGTGGAAGGAAGGCTGAGCACACCTCATTATAGAAGGAGGAGGGGACAGATTAAGGCAGCAAGGTTGGGTGCAGAACACCCAGTCAAGACAAGGCGGTGGCAGTGCTGGTGATGGGTGGGGGCAGCAGGGATTAGGGTTGGGGACTGTCACTGACAGTCACACAGGAGACCACAGGTAAGACCGTTACAGACCCTTGAGGCTGGGCACCCGGGAGAACAGGGATCCCATCACCACAAATAAGGAGGAGGACAGGGTATGGCAGAGGGGGAGTAGGAGGAGGTTCTGCCTCCATGTCTGACTTGCAAGTGTCACCAAGATGCGACATCAAACCCTTTTGAAGAACTCATCCGAAAGGAAAAAAGCAAACAGCCTCTTTAGAAAGTGGGCAAAAGATAAGAATAGACACTTCCCAAGAGAAGATATGCTGGCAGCCAACAGACACACGAAAAAGCGCTCGGCCTCACACATCATCAGAGAAATGAGAAATGCAAATCAAAACCACACCGAGACACCACCTAACCCCTGTGAGAACGGCCATCAGTAATAAGACAACAGATGCTGGCGAGGATGTGAAGAAAAAGGAACGCTTCTACACGACTGGTGGGAATGCAAATGAGTGCAACCTCTTTGGAAGACAATGGGGCGATTTCTGAAAGAACTAGAAATTGACCTTCCATATGACCCAGCAATTCCCTTATTGGAATATACCCAGAGGAACTCAAATTATTCTACAGAAAAGATACCTACACACACAGATTTGTTGCAGCTCTGTTCACAATAACAAAAACATGGCACCAACCGTGTTGCCCTTCGAAGCTGGACTATCGGATAAAAAAAAGGTGGCACATATACACAATGGAACATTATGCAGCCATAAAGAAGGACAAACATATGGACTTGGCAGCAACGTGGATGGACCTGGAGTCGGTCACACTCAGTGCTCTCTCACAGGAGCAAAGAACAGAGTTTCTCGTGTTCTCACTCACCAACGGACCTTGAACGATTATAATGCTATAAGAAAGCAATCAGCAGTAGGGGAAAACTGTCAGGGGAGAGGGGTGGAATTGGCAGTTGAGGAACACTTCCAGGGGAGGGAGGGGTATAGCTCATCCACAGGGGTAGCTGCATGACCAATGTTTATATACCTAACCCTGCACTGCACCCCACATCTTTATAATAAAAATTAAATGAATACATTTTTTAAAAGGGGGGAAAAAAACAACTTGTCAACAAGGTCCAAATCCCTAGCCTGGCATTCACGGGTACAAACTGCCCTATCCATCTTGTATTAATTTCCAACTTAGCATGATAACAGAAGCAAGCTATGTAAGGACAGAATCTGGGCATGTGATGTCTTGGTCTCATGCCCAGTGTCATATACAGTAGCTCAGGAAATGATGAGGCACATAGATATTGAAACCACAACTTTTTTTTTTTTAAGTTGATTACAATATTTTATTATTTTTATTTTTTTATCCGTATTTTTATTATGATATTGTGGGGTACCGTTAAGGGTCAGGTATACAAATATGCTTCGTTCAGGCCCCCTTGTTGATAAGAGGTGTCTCCCCATCCCCAGACAGATATTGACTACCATTAATCCCATCTCCCTTCCCCTCCCCCCATAGTTTCCCACCACTGTCAGTCATTTTCTTATAGTATTATGTTGGATGTTCAAGGTCCACTATATGAGTGAGAACATGCGATACTCAGATCTTTGTTTCGGTGAGAGATCACTCAGTATTATAGACTCTAGTTCCATCCAGGTTGCTGCAAAATTCATGATTTTGTTCTTTTTTATGGCTGTGTAGTATTCCATCGTGTATATGTACCACATTTTTTTAATCCAGTCCTCTTTTGATGGACAGCATGGTTGCTTCCAGGTTCTTGCTATTGTGAACAATGCTGCTATAAACATACGTGTACAGGTATCTTTTTTATAGAATGATTTGAGTTCTTCAGGGTATATTCCCAGTAGGGGGATTGTGGGGTCATATGGGAGGTCAATATTTAGAGCTTTTAGGAATCGCCATACTGTTTTCCACAGAGGTTGTACTAGTTTGCACTCCCACCAACAGTGTAGAAGTGTTCCCTTTCGCCACACCCTCTCCAGCAACTGTTATTTTTTGAGTTATTGATAACTGCCATTCTGACTGGAGTTAGGTATCTCAGTGTGGTTTTGATTTGCATCTCCCTGATGATTAGTGAGGTTGAACATTTCTTCATGTGTCTGTTGGCTGCTCGGATGTCTACCTTTGAGAAGTGTCTGTTCATATCTTTTGCCCTAAACCACAACTTTTTATTCGCTCTTTGTCTTTTCCTCTGGATGTAGGCTGGCTATTGGCCTTCAGTGTTACGGTCACTACGAAAGTCTAGAGACACAATGAAGAACTCTACTACACAAGTCAAGGTAACTTTAACATGGGAAGATGACTCTAAGCTATATCATAATTCCATGCCTCACTGTGATACATTGGAATAAACAAATGGACACGATTTAAGCTAAGCAATATCCCCTACTTAAAGAGAATTCTACTATTTTAGCATCACAAGTGTATAAGATATAAAAATTCCTTCCCAGAAGATTACACGACTTTATAAAGAGTTATCAATAACTTACAATGTTGTACTACAAAAACATTTTAAAAAATAAATACTAGCACTGTCGCACAAAACCATGTCTTGAATTTGGGGTTCTTCAGCGTCATCTAATAGCACCTGACACCATTCAAGAGAGACTCTGCTACTCAACTCACTTGCCAGCTCGTCTGCCTTCCAATTAGAGGTGTTTTTACTTTTCAAAATTTCACACTGTTATGTGGTAGCAAAACTGCAGCTTCTGTATGTTTAACATACAGGCTTATTTGTTTCCTTCTGAAAACATAAACGCTAAGCACAGCTGAACTCATGAAGTTAAAGTGTTCAACATTTGCATTTTCCTGGTTTCTCCAACAAAGCAATGGCCTTGGAAATAAGAGAGTGTGAACAGAGGAGAACTAGCACCAAAGAGGCTTTAAAAGATGTAACCAAAAACAACATGTAGATCATGTATACATTAAATGGACCAAGTATTATATGATATTTAAAAATTGTTAATTTTCTACATACTAATGGCAAAAACACTATTTTTAAAAATTCTTACCAGTGAGAGATGCATATTGGATAAAAATGACACAAATTTAGGATTTAAAATACTCTGGTTAAAAAATGATAATGGGGAAGAGAGATGAATAAAACAATAAAATAATGGCAATTATTGAACCTGGTTAATGCATACAAAGGGTTCACCATGCTATTCTCTCTCTCTCTCTCCATATATATATATATTTTTTTTTTTTTAATTTCCCTAATAAAAGAGATATTTCCCCATTTTGAGTATACTTGTTTATTTTATTTTTAACCTGAAAGAAAGCAAGAATCAATAAATACCGATATTTGAAAATATTTAAGAATAACAAAGAGCAGTTCTTGCTTTATACTCTTCATTAGATGTGAGTACATTACACAATTAAGAATCTCTCTTACCTTTTCCTTTGTTCTCAGCTCATCAAACATGTGTTGAATTTCCAGTTTCCAGTCATCTTGCATGGAATGAAAGGATTCTTGAGGCATCTCAGTCATCACTGCCCCTTCAATAGCAGTCAGCTGTTCAAGAATTAAAGCAAATGATGGCCGAATATGAGGATCTTGCTCCCAGCATTCTAAAATAAACAAGAACCACATTAATTCCACTTCTCAGCACTGTTCAGATTCCATCTAAGACATCAGAGCTGCTAAGAAATATTTTAACTTGCATTTCTTTCGATGTAACATTTGTCATTCAAAACCAGAAGCCTATGTTTATAGAGCCTATTCCTGAAGAGTTTAAGAATCTACTGATGGCCAGGCATGGTTGCTTACGCCTATAATCCCAGCACTTTGGGAGGCTGAGATGAGAGGATTGCCTGAGCTCACGGGTTCAAGACCAGCCTAGGCAACTTGGTGAGACCTCATCTCTACAATAAATAAAAAAATTAGCCAGGCATGGTAGTGCACACCTGTAGTTGCAACTACTTGGAAGGCTGAGGTGGAAGGATCGCCTGAGCCCAGCAGGTCGAGGCTGTGGTGGCCGTGAGGGTGCCACTGCACTCCAGCCTGGGTCACAGAGTGAGACTCCAACTCAAAAAAAAAAAAAAAGAATCTATTGATAATATTCTGAATAATTTTACAGTGTCCATGTCTGATATAATTTGGATGTTTGTTCCTTCCAAATCTCCTGTTGAAGTTTGAGGCTCAATGTTGAAAGCAGGTGGCTCAGCCTGCAATCCCGCACCTTTGGGAGGCTGAGGTGAGTGGATTGCCTGAGCCCGCGGGTTCGAGACCCGCCTGGGCAGCGAGACCTCATCTCTACAATAAAATCAAAAAATCAGGCGGGCATGGTAGCACGCGCCTGTAATTCCGGCTTCTTGGAAGGCTGAGGCGGAAGGATCGCCGGAGCCTAGCAGGTGGAGGCTGCGGTGACCGGGAGCGGCCACTGCACTCCGATCTGGGTGACAGAGTGAGACTCCAACTCAAAAAAAAAAAAAGAAAGTAGAGCCTAGTGGGAGGTGTTTGGGTCATGGGGACAGATCCCTTATGAATGCTTGGTGCTGTTGGTATGGCAATGAGTGAGCTCTGAGTAAGTTCTTGTTCTACTAGTTCACTCCAGAGCTGGTTGTTTAAAAGAGACTGGCCTTGTTCCTTCTCTTTAGTCCCCTCTCTGGCCATGTGACCTGCTGGCTCCTTTTGCCTTCTGCCATGGGTAAAAAGGCTCCTGAGGCCTCATCCGAAGCTGAGCAGATGCCGGAGCCATGCAGAATGATGGGCCAATTAAACCTTTTTGCTTTCATGTTGCTCAGCCTCAGGTATGTCTTTACAGAAATGCAATACAAGGTCAGAGCCATGTATAATAATTACTATTAGATAAAGCTGTTGCTGTTGCTATCATTCCACATTTAACAGACAGAGGTGTGCTCTCCGTACCCTACCAACAACTCTGTGTTTCGGAGGCCTAAGCCGCTGAGGTCAGATGATTTCCTGACAGAAGCATAAACTCAACCCAAGAAAACCAAACTAAAATTTTATAATCACAAGATAAGTTCTAAGAAATAGTCTAATAATGAAGAGTTAGTTAACAATTTTAAACTAACTCTTAACTAACTGCTGTTTACCAAAAGAGTTAGTTAACAATTTCTAAAAGATAAGGAGCAAATACATAAGGCCATAGCCAAATCATGCCAGTTAGGGTTTAAAAACTTTTGGGGCATTAGGTAGAATTTAAAATAACACATCTGTGTGGTGGCTCACCCCTGAATCCCAGCACTTTGGGAGGCTGAGGCAGGAAGAGCTCTTGAGCCCAGGAGTTTGAGATCAGCCCTAGCAATGTAACGAGACCTTGTCTCTACAAAGAAACCAAAAAGTTAGCCAGGTGTGGTGGCAGGTGCCTGTAGTCCCAGCTACTGGGGAGGTTACTCAGGAGGATCACTCGAGACCAGGAGGTTGAGGCTGGGGTGAGCCGTGGTCGTGCCACTGCACCCAGCCTGGGCAACGGAATGAGATCCCAACCCAAAAAATGAAAATAAATAATTCAAAATAGCACATCTGGAGTCTATTCAATACTGTGTTTGAACTCTACTCATAAACTGGGTGAAAACTTTATTACTATTCAGTTGAGTTTTATACGTAAGTGAGGCACTGATAAACCTGGGTTGCTTTTAAGTTACTCGGTTCATCAAAACTCTATCTGATATTTTTTTTTTTTTGAGTTGGAGTCTCACTCTGTCGCCCAGACTGGAGTACAGTGGCTGCTCCCGGCCACCGCAGCCTCGACCTGCCGGGCTCCGGCGATCCTTCCGCCTCGGCCTTCCAAGTAGCTGGAATTACAGGCGTGCGCTACCATGCCCAGCTGATTTTTTGATTTATTGTGGAGATGAGGTCTCACTTCCCAGGCGGGTCTCGAACCTGAGGGCTCAGGCAATCCACTCACCTCAGCCTCCCAAAGGCGCAGGATTACAGGCTGAGCCACCGAGCCCGGCTTATCTGATACTTTAGATAAAGTCTAGGTTTCTACTTCTTAAAATACTGTGGTTACTTAAAAGTATTTGAAAATTAGAATCACTGAAATTGCCTTTTTTGCTTAAAAAAAAAGAGTGCTCTAATGAACAATTCTCTTTGCCCCAACACACACACACACACACACACACACACACACACACACACACACACACACACAGCAGCACAAATACCTTTCATGAGCTTGGCAAACGGCTCAGGGCAGGTGGATGGAATCGGCAAAGTGAGCTTATTGACCGCAACCCCGTAAGCCACAGCGAGGCCATCGATGCCCCGATAGGGGACTTCTCCCGTAAGCAGTTCCCACAGCAGCACTCCATAGCTGGAAAGCAAGGTTATCGTTATGTTCAATGAGCTAAAGGCATCTTTTCCTTATGACACGGCTGGTGGAATAAACACATCTGTTCTTTCATCTCGCTCCTAACGGGATCCTCTTTTCCAGCAAATTCCATAAATTGCTAACATCCCAAGGTGGGAGGGAGGCTCTTCCCATCCACAATTCAAACACATGCGAATACACTCCATCCCGGAAACCAAATACGCGTTCATTATAGCAATCAAAGTTACTTAATAAATAAGCTTAAGAGTAAGTAGTACATGACTCAGTTAAACAGGAACCAGAGGCAGGCTACACTTGAAGAGTAACATGGTTGTTTTGACGTTTCTCCTTCTATCTTATTTTTCCCACACTTACGTAAAGGCTCTTGAGGATGACTGGAACACTGAAAAGCCTAGCCCCACAGAAATCTCATGCTACGTACCACACGACTGAGACAGAATTGTGTTGATTAACTATCTTAAATAGGTTTTGGAAACGGCTTATCTTTCTGCATCTCCTTCATATGTTAGGAAACGTGTCAGTCAAATTGCCACCATCTTGCTCAACAGTAACAGACAAAAGGAGGCGAAATGAGCCTCCTTGCACTCACTTGCTGACTGGTCACATGTCTCTGTTTGGCAGTGGAGGAGGCTGAGGGGAAATGAGGGGGAAAAAAACCAAGAAACAATTGCAGCCGCTGCATTCTCTAAAGATCAGCGCACATGGTGCAGAATCCCTGAACCTGCTGCTTCGGTTCTTCAAAGGCAAATGCAGTCACAAACAAGAACAAAAAAATGCACAGGAGAGGATTTCTAAATAAATTTTTAAAATGAATCTGAAGGGCCAAACTTCATAACACATCTACACCACAGAATTTGGTAGCCCAAATTCAACTTAGTACACAAGGGCATGAGCCTCGTGCATTACCATATATTTATTCTCTTTTATTATATAGGTCAGTGCTTTAGTTTTCTTCTATTCTTCTTCAAGACGTAAGATTTATGCTAACATTATTCTTTGGTAATACATTAAAAAACCAGTCATTCCAGAGGATTCACTAACACAACAGCATATAAGAAACACTGTCTTACTTAAAGACAAAAAACTACATTATAGCTAGATAGGAGGAATAAGTTCCAGTGTTTTAGAGCTGCAGGATAACTGTAGTTAGCAATAATATGCTATATATTTTCAAGTAGCTAGAAGAAAAGACACTGAATGTTCTCCACATAAAAAAATTATAAATGCTTGAGATGGTAGACATGCTAATTACCCCAATCTGATCACTACACAATATATGCACCAAATTATCACTATGTATGCCATGAATATGTACAATTATTATGTGTCAATTAAAAATAAAAATATATTGTAAAATAAATTGTCATATTCAGTTTCTTTTAAAATTCTATTAATGTAACAATAACTAGTGAAGCCCTAGTTTCTTTCCTAATCTCTTAACGCTTCCATTAGCTTTAAGTCAGAAAAGTCGTTTGAAATTTAGAGGCTACCAAATTCTCATTCCTTATGTGTATTGCCTATATGGAACATTTAAGCACAGTGCTGAAGATAGCAGACAGAAAGAAGGTGGTATCGTTCGATCATCTCCTGGTCTTAAGGGAGGTGGGCATTTACATCACAAGCAGGATAGAAAAAGCCTGCTGAAGACCTGACTGGCGAAGGGTAGGAAATGCTGAACTCCAGGTCCAATGTCATCCCTGGAGATGGTAACTTTTCATTTAAGACTCCTCCGTGACTGCCTTACTGCATTACTGACTACATACTAAAAACATGCAGATAAAGAATGTGGAAAACAGCAGGATATGCCAAGCAAAGGAGCCTCCGGGATGCTCCAGCTGATGTTCTACTGGCCCTGTTCAGAGGTATGAGAGCCCTGAGGCCCCGAGGCCTCTGAAGAGGAAGAGTAACAGGGCGCCACTGAAAGGCAAGTGGATTCAGACTTGCATTTGAGCTTTGCTAGTATGACTACTCACTGGCTATGCCTCCATTCACAAGCCCTTAATGCCTATCTTCACAAATTGGAGGCCCAAACTTTACCTGTACATGGACCACTGATGGGCTTCATCCTGAATTGTACCCCACATCTTTAAAATTTAAAAAAGCTGATCTTCAGTTAACTCTCCTATAAAATAATGGTGATATCTGCTGTACCATCTTAAAACACCGTTCTAACTCTTAAAAATAGGACATATATAGAATGTAGCATTTGTCAATTATACAATGCTATAACTGTGCATTATTAAGTTGAAACCAATATTTTTCAAAGCTTCTCTGATTTTTTGATAATTTCATTGAATATTATTTTAAGGTTCATCAGAGGAGACACTTTCATAATTTCAAGAATAAGTAAACAACTCACATATTAATGAACAAAAATCACCTTAGAGAAGGGAACCAAAGGATTCTTAGAATAACTACATGAGTTCTCAGGAGAGGGCTTCATTATACTATCTTTTTTATTTTTATTTTTTATTTTTTGAGTTGGAGTCTCATTCGGTCACCCAGGCTGGAGTGCAGTGGCACTCATGGCCACCCCAGTATTGACCTGCTGGGCTCTGACAATCCTTCTGCCTCAGCCTTCCAAGTAGCTGGAACTATAGGCATGTGCTACCACGCCTGGCTAATTTTTGTTTTTTATTGTAGAGGCAAGATCTCACCAAGCTGCCCGGGTTGGTCTCAAGCCCGCGGGCTCAGGCAATCCACTCACCTTGGCCTCTCAAAGTGCTGGGATTACAGGCTGAGCCACTGAGCCTGGCTCATTTGTATTTTTTAAACTGGTCCTCAAACAATAGAAACCCCTAACCCAATTGATAAATTTCTTATAAGTTATAAGTAGAACAATCAAACCATATTTCAAATGCAAAGGATAAGCTTTTACTGACAGTGCTCTATGCCACTATCATCACGTGTGAATGTGAGGAAATAATTTCTAGTGCATCCAGAGGCTGAAACAGAAACACACTTTTTGCTGGTCATGAATTTGGAAGTCAGACAGATCTGGGTTCAAATAGAAGGAGGTTCTACCACTTAAGGGAAATGGACTTTTAGCAAGTGGCACTTCCTTTCTTGGCCCTAGTTTTCTTTTATTAAAAAAAGAACTGTAATTTTAACCATAATGAGATACCACTTCACACTTCCAAAATAAAATAAAATAAAAATAAAAATGTCAGATAACAATGTTGTCAAAGATATGGAGAAATCAGAACCCTCATACACTCCTGGTGGGAATGAAAAACGGTGCAGACGCTTTGGGAAACAGTCTGGCAGGTCCTCAAATGATTAAACGTAGAATTACCATATGACCCAGGAATTTCATTACTCCTAAGTATGTATCCAAAAGAAGTAAAAAACACATGTCCTCACAAAAACTTGTTTAGGAATGCTCACGGCAGCATGATTCACAAAAGCCAAAAAGTAGAAACAACCCAAATGTTCACCAACAGATGACTATGTTAAAAAAAAAAAAACGTGGCCTATCCATACAGTGAAATATTATTCAGCCATAAGAAAAAAATGCAGTATTGACACAAGCTATGTTATGCATAAACCTGGAAATATTCTAAGGGAAAGACGTCAGATATTATAAAATTTCATTTATATGAAATGTCCAGAATAAGCAAATCTAAAGATACAGAATGTAGATTAATGACTGCCTAGGGCTGAGAAGGAAGATGGGGCTGGCGGTGACAGATGAAGAGGGCAGAATTTCTTTTTGGAATAATGAAAATGTTCTAAAATTGATTGTGGTGATAGATACACAACTCTATTAATATACTAACACAGTTTAAATGAATACATTCCATGGATTGTGAATTACATCTTAACAAAGCTGTCAAAAAAACAACAGAAAAAAATGGCATTTTAGTAACACACAGGATTTTATGAGTGATAAATAAAGGCAAGTGCAATGCAAATATTAAACAGCACAATTTTTCTTTGTTGTTCTATTATTCTTAGTATCTTCACCCCCTAATGAGACATGGCTGAATGGAAAATCAAGATAACCTGGGCATCCACTGGGGTACAGCTCCCCACCTTCAAAGAGGAGGCTTTCATCTTTAGATGATACAATCTATAAAATGAAGGGACTGGTCTAAACTTTTTTCTCAAGTTCCAACTGTGCTAATATTGTTTGTGAGGCACAAGAAATCAAAATTTGCTTAAAATGAAAATTCACTTTTACTTACTGGCAAGTCTTACAAAATCTGCACATTGGCATTAACTCAAATTATAACCAGTTTCAGTCAAACTTCAGATTGAACGGGAAGGTTTTCCTATCCAGTGGAGTCATACGACCACACAAACCTCAAATTACCTGTCCCATTGTCATTATGACCATTTTGATCAAAACCATAAAGCTTTCTCCAAAAAGGCCCGGACAACTTCTGCTCTGACTTAGTGAATACTTTGGGACTCCCTGACATAAAACACAGCGAGCAGTTTCTGCAGATGTTTGCAAAAGCCAAAGGCACACTGCTTACCTCCAGATGTCGCTTCCCTTAGAAAACAAGGAAGACTTGATGACTTCAGGGGCCATCCACGCGTAAGTGCCTGCTGCGCTCATTTTGGTGGTTCTGTGCCATTCCCGTGCCAACCCAAAATCTGTGATCTTCAACGTTTTATTGCACATGTCATCATGCTCTATCTTCTCCAGGAGCAAAACTAAGGAAAAATCAAGGGTGGGATATTTTTATACTCTTTTGATTTTTCAGTCACTATTTTTCTATGGCATGTAAAACACAATCCTCACTGCAGTTGACAGAGAAAGTAAGAATGAACTTGCATTTTACCATTTTATCTTCCAGTATCCATATCATAACCTTCAGAGCGTCATTTATGTCTGAAGTTACAATTTTAAAAACAAAAATCCAGACCACACAACTTAGAGCTCTTTATTTTTACCTTTCTGAGAAAGTAAATTGTTTCTAGGGGCAAGAAATATTTACAGAGATATCACAAGGAGGATCAGAAGTCTGTAAAAGTTTACCTGATATGAAAAAAAAAAAAAAAGTTTTCCTGACCCAAGTACATAGTCTTTGCTACTGAATATAACTGGAAAATATTGCAGTTGGATGATATATTACCACAGCTCATATTATCAAACATTGTATTTATTACACTGTACAATGTTCATACTTTAACTCATGAAGGTAATAATACAGGAGCTATCATTGTTTTATTGAATATATATCAAAATATAGCAAAAGGCAAAAACTGCAGAGAAGCGTTATCCAATTGCTGGTTTCCCCAGTCTCATCTTCCTCACAGTATAGAGAATGGATGAGAGCAACTTCCAGGAGAGCTGATGCCCGTGTCTGTCCCTGAGCTCTCAGGTAACTTTGCAGCTTCAATAAAGTATTTTCAATCACTCCTCACTCGCACCCTCCTACCCCGCCCTCCCCAGCACACTGGGTTCCTCTCTGCCATGCAGAAATGCTCCCTGGGTTTTCCATGAGGCTTGAATGTGGCTGGATCCTCTCTTCTCTCTGTTCCATTTCACACACCACCACCAACAGACTTGTCTTCCTAAACTACGGTGGCATTCTCTTGTCTTTTAAACTTTCCATAGACAAATTACCAACACACAAAACAACATGGATGGATCTCGAAACCATCCTGTTAAAAGTGAGAGAAGTCATACTTAAAAGGTGATATACTTTGATGCCATGAGACGTTCAGTAAATGAAACTAGAGGGCTGAAGACCAGACCAGCGGTGACCAGTGGTGGCCAGCGACTAAGGAAATGTTTTGACTGCAAAGGGACACAAGGGAACTTTTGGGTAGAAATTCTGCACCTCGATGGTGGTGGTGGTTACAGGTTTATATGTACCTTAAGTTTTATCAAACTGCACATTCTCAGAGGGTGAATTTTACTAGGTGTATATCAGACCTCAAGAAACCTGCATTTTAAAAAAGAGTCTTCATGCCGGGCGTGGTGACTCAAGCCTGTAATCCCAGCACTTTGGGAGGCCAAGGTGAATGTAGTACCTGAGCCTACAGGTTCAAGAACAGCCTGGGTAACTTGGTGAGACCTATCTCTACAGCAAATAAAAAAATTAGCCGGACATGGTAGCGTGTACCCACAGTTCCAGCTGCTTGGAAGGCTGAGGCGGAAGGACTGCCTGAGCCCTGCAGGTCGGTGCTGGGTGGACAGACGTGAGCGTGCCTTGCACTCTAGCCTGGGCAATGGAGTGAGACTCCAACTCAAAAAAAAAATAATAAAAGCCTTCACGGTTCCTCCTAACTCAGGGACAATGCCCACACTCCTAGACTCAGGCAATCACCAGCCTATGTGTCTGCACAGCAACCTGCATTTCCAACTGCACCTCATTCCTCTGGAGTCAAGCACGCTTCACTGAAGCCAGGCAGGCATATCCAGCTCCAACATTAACCTCTCAGTAAACCTTCCCCATTACCCTAAGCAAGAGAAATTATCCCATTCTCTATATGTACATGGCGTTTGTGTCTCAGCTACATTTAGGAAGTACAATTTACTATAAAAATTGGTTTTTACCTCTGACTCCTCTAGAGTGTTGGTCATGAGTGAGTGAGTGAGTGAGAGAGCTGGAGGGAGAGGAGGCAGATGGAGAAACATATTCAGCTGAATCTGATTCAGAGCAGGTACTTGATGTCCACAGAAGAAATCAACCAGTCCTGAACAGGTCATGTATGTTCTTGTATCTGTACTTTGTTCGTGCCACTCCCACCTTCTGGCAATAATAACAAATTAATGGAAGAATCACTGGCAAGCACTGAGTGCTCATTATATGCCTGGCACTACACATGCTTATTTTATTTTTTTTGAGTTGGAGTCTCACTCCGTCGCCCAGACTGGAGTGCCGTGGCCGCTCCCAGCCACTGCAGCCTCCACCTGCTGGGCTCCGGCGATCCTTCCGCCTCAGCCTTCCGAGTAGCCGGAATTAAAGGCATGCGCTACCACACCCGGCTGATTTTTTGATTTATTGTAGAGATGAGGTCTCACTGCCCAGGCGGGTCTCGAACCCGCGGGCTCAGGTAATCCACTCTCCTCAGCCTCCCAAAGGCGCGGGATTACATGCTGAGCCACCGAGCCCGGCTACACATGCTTATTTCATTCAATCTTTTCAAAAAATCCCAGGAGAGAGGTTTTCATAATCAAGAGAATTAGTACTAAAAAAAAAATTAAAAAATTTTAAAAAAAAGGTCATTACCTTACTAGACCCTGTTGGGCCATTGTGCTCTTTGAGCTATGGCCAGGCCATGTTTCTTGGCTTTGGACCTCTCCCCTAACTTGGGGAGGTAAATCTCCGCTTTCTCTCCCTCTCTAATTTACTTTCTAAATGAACTATATTTTCTAATCTAAAAAAAAAAATTAAGTGGCACAGTAAATCCTGGGCAATGGAGTGAGACTCCAACTCAAAAAGAAAGAAAGAAAAAACCTGTCAGAGTTCCTCATAACTCAGAGACAATGCCCACACTCCTATACACGGGCAATCACCAGCCTATGTGTCTGCACAGCAACCTGCATTTCCAACTGCACCTCATTCCTCTAGAGTTGAGCAAATTTCATAAGAAATAGGATGTGTGTGTGTGTGTGTGTGTGTGTGTGTGTGTGTGTGTGTGTGTGTGTGTGTGTGACTGCTATTCAGGTTTTACTTTGAAAAATAAAATGTGTTTATTTCATCTGTTATTAAACGACATTTTTGTCATCATTGTTCTAGCAACCACATGTATATTTCATAGAAAGGGGAAAAATAAGTGCATGAGGATTTTTTAGAATGAATTATTTGAACAAAACTGGGGAATGACATAAGGTGTGACTTTCGTCAGGCCTGATTTTTGGAACATGATCATAAAGAGGGTCTTTTTTTTCAAATTTTAATTTCAGAAGTAATTAGCCATGACTGAGTATACTCTCTTTGTAAGGTGAGACTATAGATAGTTTAATCATATAACTCCACAACACAAGGCTATAGGTAGACATATTATCTGCACTTCACACATAAGGAAACAGAGACACAGAGATACTGAATAATCTGTTCACGGTCACACAGCTAAGGAACAGTGAGGCTCAAGCAGTCTGATCCAAGAGCCCACGGTCCCAATGACTATTTGCATTGCTTAGTTGATTGCTTTTGTCACTTTTTCTCAAGAGCATTCTTGAACCTTTGAAGTCTCTCGAGTGAGGTGCCCATTCTCCTCCTTTTTTATTTCCTGTCATGGGTCAATTATCAGCTGATCTAAGCAGAGGCGATGTAGCACAGTGATGAACTGCATAAGCGCTTGGGCCAGACTCCAGGGTTTGACCTCTGTGTTTCTCTTTTTTGGCCTGTCTTGGGAGCTATGATGTTGTGGAGAGTACATGAACACGTGTGAAATGCTCAGAACAGTGCCTGAGGCATGGTGAGTGCTCTGTGAAGATTTCACACACACACACACACACACACACACACACACACACACACACACACACACGTTTTTATTAATGGGTTTGAAAGTATTTTTAGCAAGCCTTGAAAATCACTTTCATGGAATTTTGGAAATCCTGCATCTTTCGCAAGGCTTGAAGTTTCACAATGGATTTGCATTTTATTTGCATAGCATTGTCAAATGTTTACAATATTAGGCTGTCATAAGAGTTAATGCAATTGAGGGAACCAACACTAGGTTTAAACATGGAGAGTTATCTGAGTAGGGACTTATTAGATAAGTAACCAATACAGAGTAAATATTGCTGTGTAGTAATGAACCTTTCCTCGTGTTATCTTGTAACTGCAAGATTTGGAGAGCAAGCACCCTCTGTACTATTCTTTTTATTTTTATTTCTTCCAGAGACAGGGTCTCTCTCTGTCACCCAGGCTAGAATGCGGTGGTGCCGTCATAGCTCACTGAGGCCTTGAACTCCTGGGCTTAAGTGATCCTACCAGTTCAGTCTCTCAAGTAGCCGTGACTACAGGTGTGCACCACCAAAACCAGCTATTTTTTTAACTTTTTTTTTTTTAATATACAGAGATGGAGTCTCCCGATGTTGCCCCAGTTGCTCTTGAACTCCTGACTTCAAGCGATCTTCCCACCTCAGCCTCCCAAAGTGCTAGAATTATAGGCGTGAGCCACCGACACTTGGCCTGTAGTATTCTTATATCCATTACAGAGATAAAGAATCAAATTTAAGGTGGTTATATGCCATGGCCACACAGCTGGCAAACAGTAAGGTTAACATGCTACCATCTTTCCTACTCTTAATGCTATTCTCCACAGGCAGAGACAGAGGCAAGGAAGGAAGGCGAGGAAGGGAGGCGGGAAGAGACCTACTTCCCTATGGAATAGCCCCTCATTCTTTCTGTCCATCCATATTGTACCTATCTTTAAGGGTCTGCTTCCTTAGGAAAAACTCCTGAACATCTCATGAAATTGTGAACTATTTGATCTCCTCTACCATTCATTGTCCATATAGTACAGTGTTTTGTCAGTTACCTTTTTATGTGCAAGCCATTCCATCTCAGGAGTCACATTTTATAGGTTTCTCTGAGTCCTCCAAATCACCTCACACAGTACCTTGTACATCACAGAGCTCAACAGAATATCTTTTAAAATAATTATCGCCGGCTCTAATAACAAGAAGATTGCCTACCATGTACCACCGTCTGCCATGTAGAGCTGTTTGCACAGGTGTAGCAT